AGGGTCTTCATATTTTCAGTAATGTAAACACAGCTAGGTCTAGGAATGTGGCTGAGTAGCATCTGAACTAGAATGTACTAGGTCCTGGGTTTTGTCTCTAGCACTGCATAAAATCAGACATGGTAATACAGGCCTACACTGCTGGCACCTGAGAGGAAGAGGCAAATGATCAGGAGTCATCCTTAGAATGTAGTGAATTTGAGCCCAGCCTGGTCTGAATGAGTAACTCTATGAACACATGGGAGGGAGTCCCACTCTGTGGAGTTAATGGGTGGAGAGCTCCAGGATTTCTTGCTGTGTAATAATTACCTTACAACCTAGATGCTTAATGTAGCAATTCTTTTTTTTTTTTTTTTTGAGGGAATGGACCAAGACCATTCACATCTTTCACATGCTAGGCAAGCACTCCATATAGTCACACCCCTAGATCAACAGTTCTGAAATCTTTCTCACACGGGTGTGAGGTTGGCAAGCCCTGCCTGGTGGTTCTTGATGAACCTGCAGGCAGATTGCGCTGGGAGGTGGGGGTGTGAATTCACTGGAAAGATTCTCCACACCCACACCTGGTGTCTGGGCTGACTGGCTAGATCAGGCCAGGATGGAGAAAAGATTAGATGACACTTCTTAAGTGGCAAGTAGTTTGCACTTCATGATGGCTAGACTCTTCACCTCTGTCTAATTCAACTGCAAACTAGTCCCTGAGATGGCGTTTCCACTCTCACCCTGTAACGAGGATTCTGACTCCATTGGCTTCTATTGTTCATTTGTTGCTTGTTCTTGAGGCTAGGTCTCAGGTAATCCAGGCTGCTCTAACTCATGATACAGCTGAGGGTGCCCTTGGACTTCTGACCCTCCTACCTCTCCCTTCTGAGCTTGATCATGGGGGAGTACCTCATATGCATTTTAGCCAGTGCTGGGATGGAACCCAAAGCTTCCTGAACAGCAAGCGAGAGCTCTGCCATCTGGGCTACAGCCACCTTTTTCCCTGTTTCTTTTTTTGTTGTGCTTTGTTTCAAGACTAAGTCTCAGTTGTACAGTTGTAAATGGGCTGGAACTTGCTATGTAGATCAGACTGGCCTCAAAATCATAGGGACCCTTCTCCTGGTCCCTTGTTTTTTTGAGACAGGGTTTTGCTGTGTAGTCCTGCCTGCCTTGGAACTCACTCTGTAGACCAGGCTGGCCAGGCTACTCACAGAGATCCACCTGCCTCTGCCTCCTGGACTGCTGGGATTAAAAGCTTGTGCTACCACTACCTGAATTGGGGTCTAATTGTGTAGCCCTTGTAAGAGCAAGGTAAACTGGAGAGGATGAAGTTAACTCCATCCTCAGAAAAAGCCACTTTGAGAAATTCCCTGAGTGGCACAAGGCTAATTCAGTTCCAGCCAAGGAACCATAAACAGTTCCAAGGAGCACCCAAACTGTGCCCACCCCAATCAAAGTGACCGCATCTGGGTGGTCAGGCAATGGTTAATTTTGGTAAATAACATCTTCTGGCCACAACTTTGTGGGCAACTGTCAGTAACAATTTCGAAATTCCCTTAGCCCCCACGTTAATGACTCCAAAGGTCACCTACTCTTACCCAATCCTGAACAGCCAAGGCATGTACCACCCTGCTTGCGGTTTTTCCTTTATAACCCCCTTGCAATTGAGGCCAGGCACCCTTTTCCTGCAGCTGATGTGCCAGTTTGCTGGACAGGGTCCCTGCTGAGGCTTGTAACTTAACAATAAACCTTGTGCGTTTGCATCAGTGAGTCTGCTCCTTGGTGGTCTTTTGGGGGTCTCACAAACTTGGTATGACAGCCCTGGATAGCATGGAGCTTACTATATAGTGTAATATAATAAATAAAAGCCCCAGAGACTGATATTGGGGTTCAAGCTGAAGATCAGAAAAGCAAAGCAGCTGGGAACTAGTTCTTATTCTACCTCAGAATGAAAGGAGATCCTGGCCCCATCAAACCTTAGACGGTAACCTCTCCTGGAGAATCCTGAGATTCAATGTCTTCTTATCCTCAATGTGGCTGGAAAATGAATGGCTGATACTGAATACTGAAGACACTGCTCCTATCTTTCTTTGGCAGGGAGGGGGGTTGAGACAGGATTTCTCTGTATTGTTTTGGAGCCTGTCCTGGAACTAGCTCTGTAGATCAGGCTGGCCTGGAACTCACAGAGATCTGCCTGCCTCTGCCTCTGAAGTGCTGGGATTAAAGGCGTGTGATCCGAGGCGCTAAGATCATCTTTGTGTGAGCTATTTCTCTTTAGGACTGGATCAATTTTGTGTAGATTTGGGTGGCTTTGAACTCACAGAGATCCATTTACCTCTTAATCCTAAATCCTAGGATTAAAGGTGTGTACCACCACTGCCTACCTTCTGGCTGCTGGGATTAAAGGTGTATATCGCCACTGCCTGATCTCTGTAGCTTGAGGCTGGTTTTGCTTTCTGAATCCTCAGACAAGCTTTAATAATCATAGATAATATATCACCACAATGTAGACAATGCTGCCCTTGAACTCACAATGATCCACCTCCTGAGTGCTGGCTGGCATCAAAAGCCTCTACCACTGTGTCTATTTGTTTTGTTTGGAGAGAGGACTTGATCCCATGCTGGCCTCATTCTTTTATGTTGTTGAAGTTGATCTTGACAGGTTATATTCCTTTTTAACAATTTTTATGTGTATGCTGCTAGGTGTTTTGCCTGCATGTACATATCTGTGCACCATGTGGGTGCATTGCACAGGAGGCCAGAAGGTGTTGGATTCTCTTGGACTAGAGATACAGTCAGTTGTGAGCTACCATGTGGTGCTGAGAATTGAACCCTGATCCTCTAGAAGAGCAGCCAGTGCTCTTAACTGCTGAGTCATCTCTCCAGCCCTGACCTTAAACGGTGGCTCTTTCTGCCTCCAACTTCCAAGTGTTGGGATTACAAGTATGCCACACAATTCCTACCTACCTCTAACTCCTTTTAAAAACATTTAGTTGCGGGCTGGAGAAATGGCTCAGCTGTTAAAGGCTAGGATCACAATAAAAAAAAAAAAAAAAAAAAAAAAAAGAAGTGTTTATTTGCTGATGTCTTTAAATTTTTGCACCTTCTACACATTTAAGCAAGCTGAGACCTTGTGTTTCCTCACTCTGGAGAGAAAATTTAAACCTGGAAACCTTGGCCAGTTTCAAAGGACTCCTGGCACAGCCTACTCATCAAGGTACAAAAGCCCTTCCTTGATGGGTGTAGAGGTACACACAGGTGATCTTTTTGTTTTGTTTTAGAGATGGGTTTCTCTGTGTAGCTTTTGGAGTCTGTCTTGGAACTCGCTCTGTAGACCACACTGGTAATCTTGACACTACAGTGGCTGAGACAAGAGGGCTGCCATGAGTTTAAGAAACTCAAGGTTTTATAGAGTAGGCTACAGAGTGAGGCTCTGTCCCTGTGGTTTCCTGCCCCCACCTCCACCCCAGCCCCCCCCCCAAAGTTTTCCTTTGTAGTGTTAGCTGTTCTGGAACTTGCTCTGTAGTACAGGCTGACCTCAAACCTGGAAATCTGCCTGCCTCTGCCTCCCAAATTCTGGGATTAAAGGCATGTGCCACTGCCACCTGGTTTATTGTAATTTATTAGGGGCTATCCCTGGGAAGCCTGCTCTTTTTTTGTTTATTTTTTTTGTTTTGTTTAAGGGAAACTGAGGAGTGGATCTGGGAGAGAGAGAAGGGGACGGACTAGACTGTGAGGAGCGGAGGCAGGAGGAGCTGCCATCCAGATGAAATATAAGAGAGAGAAAAAGAAAGTGAAAAAAAAGGAAGGAAAAATGAGTTGGTTATGGTAAACCCAGTGACTGGTGTCCCCACAAGGGGAAGACACAGCAAGGGTGCCATACCAGCAGACATGACTTCGTGAAGAGACAGCAAGGGGGTGCCCTCTCTATGCCCAGAGGAGGCCTCAGGGGAATCCTACTGTGCTGGCTCCTTGGCCTTCTAGGACTGTGAGAAAACGAGTTTCTGTATAAGTCACCCAGTCTGTGATATTTGTCCACAGCTCTGCAGAAGAACACAAGATACCAATGTTTTAGTTTACATTGGCAGCCTGTTTATCCTGTCCACTATTTATTTTGTCTGAAATGCAAATGGATCTCCTGTTGCTCCTGATACCGAGCGGTCAACACACACTTCATTGATTACTTTCAATTCCATTCTGTCTCGCAGCTTGCTTCCTCCACTTGTCTGGGCTCCCCATCTCTAGGCTCCTCTGGCTATAGGGGAGGCTCTGTTGGCCCCCAGGCCATGTCCTTCCCCCCATCCCCCGAGAATTGCCTCTTCTACCTTTTGCTGTCTCCTCTGTGTGCAGGTTTTGGGTTTAAATGCCTAGTCCCTGGGGAGCAAACTATGAGGTGGGAACAGGCCAGTTTGGGGTCTAGAGGTGCCAGCGTCCGGTCCTCAGAGCAGAGTCCTTTAGGTGGGTTGGGACAATGGATGGTCCGGGGCAGTCACGCTGAGCACATCTGGACCCGGCTGGAATCCCGCGGTGAAAGGAAGCTTCTGGAGCTCAGACTGCCCGCAGCCTGGGGTCCCCCGGCAGAGCGGCAGGATGCTTGGGGGAGGGGAGCTCCAGCCACCCCTCCCCCCCGACTCGCGGTCCTAAGGAAGCAGAAGCAAGGCCTGCTCCAGAAGTCCCCATAGAGCTGGGATCTGGGAACAGAAACTTTTCTGACTTTGGTCGTGGAGGAGGGGACACATCACAGACTGCTTGCCCCACTGCTAGTCTTTGAGCTCGCATGTGAGTCCCTGCGTCTCAGTGAGGAGCAGGGTGGGGCGGGGGCTGGCTCTCCTCTTCGTGCTGGACATTGGAAGATTGGACTACTTTCCCCGCCGCGCCCTTAGCGCTCATCGTGGTGAGCTCCGCCCCATCAAGGCTTCCACTTGCAGGCGGGGCAGTTGGCGCAGCGCCCAGGCAGGGTCAGCACCTGGTGTCAGGGGGACAGAAGCCCCCGTAGAGGACTTCTTTACCGAACCTCTGTCCCCTCCTGCGCCTTCTCCACGCTCCCAAGACCCCTCGCCCCACCTCAACCCTCGGCTATTGCGGCTCAGCCCTAGGCTCCCGGATCTCCCCTGCTCATCTCTACTACCCTGTGTGTCGGCTCCCTGGATCCTCTCTGGGTCCTTGTCCTCCTCCAGACCTCCAGGGCGGACGGAGTCAGGGCCTCTTCGAGTGTCCCCGAGGTCCAGACTGAACCAGTCATGAGTCTGCAGGCGCTCGGTCTCTGGTTACTGGTTCTTCTGCTGCAGCCTGTGCGCGCTCGGATGCCCAGGGCGCAGGACGTGAGCCTGGGCGTGGTAAGCTCGGATCCTCTGGGTCCTGGGATCACAGAAGTAAAAGGAAAGGTGTAGGGTGGACTCCTGGGTCTGAAGAAAAGAGGGGGGATGGGTTAAAATGTCCTGGAAAGTGACTGGGGATGGGCTCTTGGGGCCATGCATTACTGGCTGTAACGAGATTTGGTGACTGGGATTTGGAAGTGTGGAAAGGAGCTAAAATGGGAAACTGGGGCCTCTCACCTGCTGCATCTAAAAGACTGACAAACCCAGAGCTGGGGGGTGGGGACCCTAGCTGTGTATAGAGAGAGCTAGGTGCTGTCATCCAGAGCTAGGAGCACTGGCTCTGGATTCCCTAGAGGGTTGGATTTTTCAAACAATGGTGAGAAGGGAGAGCCCCGTCTTTTTAGGGCTTCATCATTCCTCTCCTTAGGACTGGCTGACTCGCTATGGCTACCTGCCCCCGGCAGATCCTTCCCAAGCCCAGCTGCAAAGCCTTGAGAAGCTGCAGGATGCGATCAAAGTCATGCAGAGATTTGCGGGTCTGCCTGAGACAGGCCAAATGGGTAAGTAAGCACACCGAGTCCCGGCCACCGGGCAGTCCTGCCTCTATCACAAGAGCTATCAAGATGCTGGTCTCAGGTCCCAACCCAGACCTTGGAGATCTGCAGGCATCTAGCTATCCTGTCCTGGCTTTGTCAGGATCCATTGCTAAAGCAGGAATCAAACAGATCTGGCCCCCAATCATTAGAGCTAACGTTCTGAAGGAGAAAGAACATCAATATGCAAAATTATTTCAGATGATGACATCCCAGAAAGATCAAATGTTAAGAATTAGTCTGATTAGGATAGGACACGTATTTGTTTTGGGAGAGTCTTGCTGTGGAGCACAGGTTGGCTTCGAACTTGAGATCCTCCTGCCTTAGCCTGAGTGCTGGAATTCCAGATCTGTGCTGCTGCATCAAGCTGGGCAGGACACTCTGAAAGACGTCATGTGAACCTATAAGCTAAGATCATAGATAGGACAAAACCACAGGAAAATATGGGGGCAATGGCCCAGTAACTGCAAAAGAACTGTGGCAGGCCCAAGTTTATCTGCTGGCACTGAGGGCAGGCTGAGGGGCTTAGGCAAGGGCCTGATTAGGTGACTTTGAAGGTTTGTTCCCAGAATAATAAGATGCCAGGGGAGGAGGGCTCAAAGGAGGAAAGCAACTTCATCTGACTTTCAAGGTTTTGTTGTTTGTTTTATTGTGGGGGTTGGGTTTCCTCTGTGTTGCTTAGGCTGGTCTTAAACATGTGGTCCTCCTATTTTGGCCTCATTGATGGGAAACAGTGGCCATGCCATAGGGATGAGCTCTGGTTTGATCTTAAGCTTCTTTTGGAGAACCAGAAGGAACCTCTTGCAGGTGGTATTGGGGAGTAGGGGTGGGGATGTGGCGGAGAACATATTTTGGAGGTAGAGCCAAGGGCTCTCTTGTCCAGTTAAATAGGAAGGCAGAAGGAGCTTGAGAATCTTCGAGGAAAAAAATTCCCCCTGTTCTGTTCATTCTCAGCCTAGAGCAGAGTATGGAATCACTATATTCTTGATTACTATTTGCTATTGCTACCAGTGAGTGTGGTTTGACCTCACTTGAATGTGAAATGACTCTTGGAAATGGGCAGATGTTAGAAAGAGGGTTTACAGATAGACCTAATTTGGGAAGGGATGGTTAGCTGCTTCAGACTAAAGATCCCTGCTGGTCCCTGCTGGTCTGCAGACTTTGATCAGCATCCCATGAGGATTTAAGCCAGGCAGGGTGGTAGAGGCTCTTGCCTTTAATCCCAACACTTGGGAGGCAGAGATTGGATCTCTGAGTTCAAAGTCCAGGCCAGCCTGGTCTTCAGAGCAAGTTCTGGACAGTCAGGGCTACACAGAAAAACTGTTTCTCAAAAAAACCAAGGGGAAAACCAGGTGTTGGTGATGCACACCTTTAATCCCAGCATTCGGGAGGCAGAGGCAGGCAGATCTCTGTGAGATCGCAGCCAGCCTGATCTACAGAGTTCCAGGACAACTTCCAAAGCAATACAGAGAAACCCTGTCTCAAAAAAAAAAAAAAAAAAAAAAAAAAAAAAAAAAAAAAAGTGTGTGTGTGTGTGTGTGTGTGTGTGTGTGTGTATGTGTGTGTGTGTGCATGCATATAAACAACGGTAGGGGCAGCCTTAAAGGAAATGGGAGATGACCTAGATGGTAAAATGTTTGCCTTGCAAGCATGAAGACTTGATTTTGAGCTCTAGAGCCCATCTGAAAAGGGTCCTGGTGAAATGCAGTTGTAATTCCAGCAGAGATGCAGATCCTTGGAACTCATTGGCCAATCTTACCTAGTTGGCAAATTCTGGACCAAGTGAGAAATCCTGTCTCAAAAATCCAAAGCCAATGAAATGAAACAAAACAATAACCCCCCTCCAAAAAACAAACAAATAAGAAACCATGGTTGATAGCACTTGAAGAATGACACCCAAGGTTGACCTGACCTCTGGTCTCCACATTCACAGGTACACATATGTACTCCTATACACCTATGTATGCAATCCCTTTTACCTTTGGAGTACCTTCTTTTAGTATCCACCCACAGTGGTACAAGAGACCCAGCTTAAGCCTCTAAGTGCCTCCTACAATGGCCACCCGAGGTCAAGTAGAGAGGGTGCCTGGCTTGTGACAGCTTTCACAGTGACTATCTTCATTCATTATTTTATGTGTTTGAGTGTTTGACCTGTGTGTATGTCTATGCATTGTAGAGGTCAGGAGAGGGTGTCGGGGGTCCCTGAAACTGGAGCTACAGACTATTGTGAGTCACCATGTGGGTACTGAGACTTGAATTTAGGTCCTCTAAAAGAACAGCCAGTGGCTTTAGCTGTCGGGCTAACTTTTCAGCTCCATTAGTTGGCACCATGATGACAGACTACCCTGTTACTCACCATGCCTATCTCCCACAGACCCGATAACAATAGCCACCATGCACAAACCCCGCTGCTCCCTGCCTGATATTCTCGGAGCTGCTGGGCTGGTCAGGCGCCGCCGTCGCTATGCTCTGAGTGGCAGTATGTGGAAGAAACGCACTTTGACGTGGAGGTAGGTCTTGGTGCCTGTGTTTCTCCTTAGCCTGCCGACTAGGACCCAAACTTGCCTGGCTGGCCATTCCCTCCATAGCCACTGGGTCTCCCCTCTCTCCTCAGTATCCAGTCCTTCTCTCAGAGCTCCCAGTTGAGCCAGCTGACCGTGCGGACCCTCATGAGCTATGCCTTGGCTGTCTGGGCTGCCGAGACAGACCTTACCTTCCAGGAGGTGGATTCTCAGAATCAGGAGCCTGACATCCTTATCCACTTTTCCCGGGGCTACCACCAGGACAGTTACCCCTTTGATGGACCCGGTGGCACGCTGGCTCATGCCTTCTTCCCTGGGGAGCACCCCATCTCTGGAGACACTCACTTCGACGATGAGGAGACCTGGACTTTTGGGTCAAAAGGTAAAAGTTTTTGTCTTCAGAGTGGTCCCCTCTTCAGATCTGTCTGTACTGAAGAGCTAGGTTTAAATTAATTGATGAAATTGGTCAGGGATTCCCCGGAGGAACTGGAGTATGTATGGTTCAGTGGTATACTGTTGGTCCAGCATGTATGGGTTCAGAACAGACACACACACACACACACACACACACACACACACACACACACACACGGCCCAGTATGGTAACACACAGCTATAATCCCAGCACTCAGAAGACAGTGGCGGGTGTCTATCTGTGAATTTGAGGTTAGCCAGGGCTACTTAGTGGGAGCTTGCATCTGAAACAAACAAAAAACTTTTTTTTGAAAAGTTAATTAATCGTATGTGTATAGATGTTTTATCTGCATGTATCCTGGGTACCAGGTGCATTGCCTGGTGCCTTAAGAAACCCTAAGAGGATGTAGAACTGGCCTTACAGATGGGTGTGATCTACCATGTGGGTGCTGGGAATTGAACCTGGATCTTGTCCAAGAGCAGCCAACACTCCTAATCATTAAACTACCTCTCCAGTCTTCAGCAATCCCCACCCTTAAAAATACTTAAAAAGAGGTTTTTGTATTTATTTATTTATTTATTTATTTATTTATTTGAGACTTGGTCTCATTATTGTAACCCAGGCTGGCTTTGAGCTCACTATCCTAGGCTGTCCTAAAACAGATTTACTTTAAGGACTCGGCTCATGGGGATTGTGGTAGTTAGTGTGGCCAAAATGTGTAAAGCAGGATGAAAAGTCGAGCTAGATTTTTGTTACAGTCTTAACAGAATTTCTTTCTTCCTAAAACCCTCAGTGTTTGCTCTTAGGGCTGGATTGATATGGTCCTTCTGCAATGGGGTAGCTTGCTTCAGTGAGAGTAGACTGTAGTCAAACCTCTGAAACACCTTCACAGCCACATCTGGACTGCTGTTTGGATTTCCACTAGGTACCTGTCCAAAATTACCACTACAGAGGCCTTTTAAGTGCCAAGCTCAGACAGTGGTGGTGCACACCTTTGATCCCAGCACTTGGGAGGCAGAGGCAGCAGGATCTCTGTGAGTCTGAGACTAGCCTGGTTTACAGAGTGAGTTCCAGAATGGCCAGGGCTGTTGCATAGAGAAACCCTGTCTCAAAAAACACAAAACAAAACCAAATTGTCAAGTACCCAGCTGAGAGAAGGACTGGTGTAAAAACTCACTATCCATTCACTTAGGCAGAAGAGTGACTGTCACCACTATGTGTGATTGGACTGCCAGAAATCACAGCAGAGTAAGTTCTCAGCTTGAGTTTCCCGAGGAGGTGGCAGCCTAGTACTTTTGGGCCAGAGAGGCTTCCTAGAAGGGGTGACTCATTCTGCTTAAACAGACACGTGTGCCGGATGTGGTGGCACTGAGGGTAACAGCACATATCTGTAATCCCAGTGCTTGAGAAGCTGAGGCAGGAGGATTGTGAGAATGAGACCAGCTGAAGATACACAGCAAGACTTCAGAGTCAAGTGTGGTGGTGCTTGCCTTTCTCTCAGCACTCAAGAGGCAGAGGCAGTCAGATGTCTGAGTTACACAGAGAAACCAAACCAAAGAAAGCAACAACAAAAAAACCAACCAAACAAAAAGACTCCAACTCAAGACAAACATTTTATTTTGTTTTTATAAGACAGGGTTGGGAGCAGGTGTGATGTGCATACCTGTAATCCTAGGGCTTAGATGACCAAAGAAGGGTTGTAGCAAGTTTGAAGCCAACCTGGAGCTACATAGTAAGATGAAGGCCAGACTAGGCTCCAGAGTGACCCTGTCTTGAACAAAACAAAACAAAAAATGCTGAGCACCAGGTGTCACAGGCTGGACAGTTTGTTCATCTGAGTGCATAGGTGTAGGGGACACAATAAGAACACACCAGCCTGTGAGCTGGCTGAGTGCTGTGTAGCCAGAGGTGGGAAGAGCCACTGAAGGGAGATACGGTCTGGCGCATTGATGGCTGGAACACAAAATTGTGGACAGCATCAGTCCACATGATGTCACAGATAAGAGTGGGCTCTAGATTACAAAGGGTTCTGGAAAGGAAGCGGTATTTGAACAACAGGGTTCAGGAAGCAATGGGGACACATCAAATAGTTTTGCATCCTAGAAATATTCCTGGATGCATGGGGAGGAGGAGTGGCGCCAGAGTGGAAAGAGGCAAAGAGGCAGGAAGTGGGACTGAGCAGTGGAGAGGCAGATCTGAGGGAAGTCTTAACAGGCCCACATTGCCATCCCACTAGACTCCCTGGTGCAAGGAGGGTCCAGCTCAGCATCCTAGAAGATTGCTACTATTCTATTATACACACGGGGGAGGAAGCAGTGGGCTGTCAGGGGGTGGGTGAGTGCAGGTCTGGGTGTGTGTTGGCAGCATGTGCATGTTCTATGCAGTTGGCATGGAGGATAAGTAGTCTCTTTAGAACTGGACTCCTAGTTCTGTCCTCGGTCAGGTTCCCCAGAAGCAGGGCTTTCACAGAGGAAGTCTTTTTTTTCTGCCCTCCCCCATCTCACACTGAACTCCCATTCTTTTTTATTGTTGTATTTTTTCCTCTCATTTCCAGATAGAAATTCTTTTTTGTTTGTCTTTGTTTTGTTTTGAGATTTTATTTTTTTTATTTTATATGTATGAGTGCTCTATTTGCACTTATGCCTTTATGGTAGAAGTGGGCATCAGATCTCACTGTAGATGGTTGTGAGCCACCATGTGGTTGCTGGGAATTCAACCCAGGACCTCCAGGAGAGCAGCCAGTGCTCTTAACTGTTGAGCCATGTCTCCAGCATCCTGTTTTGTTTTTTTTTTTTTTTTTTTTTTTTTTTTTTTGTAGCCCTGGCTGTCCTGAAAGTTTCTCTATAGACCAGGCTAGCCTCGAACTAACAGAGATCTGTCTACCTTTTACCTCCTTAGTGCTGGGATTGAAGGCATGTACCACCATTGTCAGCCAAATAGAAATTCTTAAGCAAGCAGTTTTTCAAGGGAAAGGTTCTCAGGAGAAAGGGAAGCAGAGGGGAAATAGAAGTGAACATGGATGCGGGTGGTGGGTGGGCAGTTCTTCTCAGTTCTGCATCAATCAGTCATTTACTGTGCTAGGGTAGGATGAGTGGAGAGGGGATAGTTGGGTCTGGTGCCCAGATTCTGTGGGGCACTGGCAGCCAGTCACAGACTGTAACAGCAGGGTGGTACCCTGCAGAACACTGAAGCCAGAAGCCTGTGCAGACCACAGCAATTGCTCTCTGTTGCAAGCAGGTCAGCTTTGATGCTGACTCAGCTCAGGCTCCTCCACTTGCTGCTCTGCTTCCTTGGCTGAGAAACGAGGGAAGGAGAGTGCCTTCAGGCTGAGTGGTTTGTGTTCTTTTCACTCCTGGGCACCTGTGCTACTGACTGAATTGCCAGCCGCTCGCAGAGCTGAGCCTAGGGAGGGATCTGGAGGTGCTAGGAAGATGGTATAGAATGTAAAAGTCAAAAACAGTAATGGAGAGCCTTGAAGTTAAGAAGCAGGTAGCTGGGAAGAGAGATGGGGAGCTGGGTGCGGTGGTGCATGCCGATAGATAATCCCAGCATTTGGAGGCAAAGGCAGGCGGTCTGTACAATGTATCAGCCAGGGAATAATCTGCATAAAGAGATCTAGACCTGCAAGCAAGAGACACTGATGGGGAAAACCCCCTAAACCCACAACAATGGAGATGGGGAGAAAAAGGGCTGAAAGATGATGAATAAACGCTCAGAGGAAGTGGTTTGACACAGCAAGGCAGGGAAATGTCCAGCAAGTCACATGGCCAAAATTTAGTTATGTGTGGGGACAAGTGACTGTTTTTTTTTTTTTTTTTTTTTTTTTTTTTTTTTTGCGGGGGCGGGGGGTTGTTGAGATGGGATTCCTCTGTGTCAACTGTCCTGGAATTCACTTTGTAGACCATGCTGTCCTTGAACTCACAGAAATCTGCCTGCCTTTGCCTCCTGAGTGCTGGGATTAAAGGCATGTGTCACCACTGCCTGGCTGACAAGTGACCTTTTTGTGCCTGCTTACTCCATGGGTGTGAGAAGAATTTCAATCTGTAGTTAGGCGTGACAAGAATAAAGGAAGTGAAGACTGCGTAAACCACTGCTGAGGAACTTGGCTAAGAAGCAAGGGCAGAAACTAGAGAGGCCAGGATCCTGGGGACCAGGTCCAAAGAGTGTCTCAGGATAAAGGGTGTTAAGATTGGCTCTACCAGTGTGTCAATACAAAGATGGATGCCTGGATAGAAAGGGTGTTTAGTGTACACACCTTTCATCCCAGCACTTGGCAGAAGCAGGCAGATCTCTGAGTTTAGACTATCCTGGTCTACATAGTTTATATACACTGTCTCAAAAATGGGGTGGGGGGCATGGATGCCTGGACAGGAAGAGAGAAGTGGGCATGGGCAGGAGGCAAGAGGCGAGTGTGGGGACGATGGCGCTATCTGCCCATGTGTACTGGAAGTGACATTACATTGCATTGCTCACCTTTTTATTTAATCTGGTCTGGATCTTAGTTTTAAGATTTACATTTGTTATTTTTAACCATGTGTCTGTGTGATGCTAGAGGAGGGTATGGACCTCCTTGGATCTGGAGTTACAGGCAGGTATAAGCAACTTGATGTTGGGTCCCATCTTTGAGGGGCTGCGGACCTAGAATAGAAGTAGAGGGGACCAAAGAAGGCACCTGCTAGGCCAAAGACAAGAAAGACAGGGTGACAGGGACCCTGAGCATTGGCCACCAGTGCTGTCCCGGGGTTAGTTTGGGTGATTGTGTAGTTTTCTCCATCTGCATAGCGTGACAAAGGTGCGGAAGGGGCTCGTGGCCCGGAAGCTCTGTGTTGCCCCAAGAGAGGTGAGATAAGGAAGGAGAAAGAGAACATCCTGATTGAGACACCAAACTTCCTCTGACTTCTCAGTAAAAGGATTCAGAGCAATAAGATGACCTGCAGCCAACATGGAAATTCAGTTGTAGTTTGGACAGGTTCATCTGAAGACAGGACCTGCCAAAAGGCGGGGGCACAGCCAGGGCACTCAGCTTCCGTCCTAGCTCTGCCGCTGACCTTGATGACTGTTTTCCCTCTGTGAAATGGTGGGAGATGGAGGTCTGAGATGGAATGAAGTCTTGCATTTGCTGCTCTTAGAATTTTCCTGGTTTGCCAAGTATAGTGGCATATAACAGTAGTGATTTCACTTAGGAGGTAGAGGCAGGAAGATTGCATCAAGATCAAGCCGTATTCAATCTGAATAGTGAATTAAAGTCTAGCCAGGGCTACATAGTGGGACCCAGTCACAAACAAGAAAAAATGAACGTTGGTTTTGTTTTCCTGTTAGGGCAAGCTGCTTTTCAGTTCACCAGTCATTTCCAATATCTCACTTTCAATATCATTAATACTGACTAGAAACAATGAGATGGAGTGACATTCAGAAATCTGGGTCTTGCTGGGGGACTGCCTGGCTCTAACTGTCTTAGTGTTTTCCTGGCAGGCTTTAACCAATGACTTTAGAGATCGATAAAGCCAAGCATCAAGAGGCTCTGAGCTGCCCTGGGTGGGATCCCCAGGGAAGAAGCTGTGGCTAGAAGAAGCTCCAGAGCAGTGGGCTGTGGTCTGCCATGCCTGTTGGGGGAGGGCGGCAAGGGGGAAGAGCCAGGGCCCTAGGAGAGGTGGGTGGAGATGTGAAGTCTGGGAAATGGCCTGCAAATGTGGGTCCAAGGACCAGAGGGATGGAAAGAAAGGGAATGAAAGGGCCCTGGGTGAAGATGGAAGGAAGAGGAGGTTGGGGCTTCTTTTTTCTTTTATCTTTTTTTTTTTTTTTTTTTTTGCAGGGGAGAGGGCATGGTCTCTTTATGTAGTCTTGACTAGACTTTAATTTGCTATTTGGGCCTAGATGGCCTCATACACAGAGAGATTCCCTTGCCTCTGCTTCCTGAATGCTGAGACCAAAGGCCTCCCAGCAAAGTGGGAATCTCTTTTTCTTTTTTCTTTGTCTTCTTTTTAAAGGCTTATTTATTTATTTTATGTATGTGAGTACTCTATCTGAATGTATGCCTTTATGCCAGAAGAGGGCATCAGGTTGTGAGTCACCATGTGGTTGCTGGGAATTGAACTCTGGATGTCTGCAAGAGCATCCAGCCCTCTTATACCTGTTGAGCCATCTCTCTAGCCACAGGCTGGAATTGGGAGGGGATGTCCAAGTGTCGGGCACCTTAGGGTTCTGCACTCTAAGTTTCTATATGCAGTTTTCCCTTTCTGGGTGAGGGACTACATCGGCATGAGGACACAGCTCTTCCGTCTTTTTGTCTTTCTTTAACCCCATATCCCAATGTCACAGCAAAAATATTTGCTGAGAGCTGGGCAGTGGTGATGCATGCCTTTGATCTCGGCACTTGGGAGGCTGAGGCAGGCGGATCTCTGTGAGTTCGAGACCAGCCTGGTCTACAAGAGCTAGTTCCAGGACAGCCTCCAAAGCCATAGAGAAACCCTGTCTTGAAAACAAAACAAAAACATTGTTGAATGGTTGAAGGGATACAGGGATGGTGATGCCATTCAGGAAGGGGTCAGGGTCCCCTAGGTCTTCTTCCTGGCCAGCAGACCACCGGACCCCTGTACTCCCTTCCCAGTGTGGGATGGCCTTGGCTTCACCCCTCGTCCTCTCTCCCCAGGTGGTGAAGGAACTGACCTATTTGCAGTAGCAGTTCACGAGTTCGGCCATGCCCTAGGCCTTGGCCACTCTTCTGCTCCCAACTCCATTATGAGGCCCTTCTACCAGGGCCCAGTGGGAGACCCTGACAAATACCGCTTGTCCCAAGATGACCGTGATGGACTGCAGCAGCTCTATGGTATGGGAGGGAGGTGCCAGCAGCAGCCCCAGGTGTAGCTTCCTTACGACCCATACACCGGCTCTGAGGAACCCATATCTGTCTGACTCTCCCCACAGGGAAAGCATCCCGCAGCCCGTATGGCAAGCCCACAAGGAAACCCTTGGCTTCACCGCCACAGCCTCCAGCCTTGCCCCCTGACAGGTGAGTCCCCTACCAGGTGAGTGACCAGCTCCCTGGCTCATTGTCCTCCACAAAAAGGGGCTGGAATGCTGGAGAGATGGTTCAGTGTTTAAGAATACTTGCTGTTCTCTGAGGACCCAAGTTGAGTTCCCAGAACCCACTTCAAGTTGCCCACAACTACCTGTAAACTCCCAATATGGAGGACACCTGTGGCTCTCTCAGATACCCACAATAATAAAAAAACAGACTGGGACACTGCCTCTTTAGCAAACTGCCACGAAAGCATGAATTCAAATCTGAAAAGGCCAAGTGAAAGCCAGAGGCCTGGGTCTGTAATCCCATAACTCAGGAAGGCAGAGACAAGCAGGTTCCTGAAGCTCATTGGCCAGCCAGCCTAGCAGAATTGCCTTTAATCCCAACTATCAGGAGGCAGACACAGGCAGATCTCTAAATTCAAGACCTGCCTGGTCTACACAGCAAGTTCCAGGATAGTGAGGACTGCACAGAGACCTTGTCTCAAAATACAAACTCAAACCCAAAAAATACAAGATGAAAAGCAATCAAGGAAGACACAACATGCACTGTCAACACACCTGCATATGCACCAGCACACACACGTACATGCACACACACCAGTACACACTCAAGCCATGTGCACATGTTAGTACACACACATACATACATGCACATGTACCAGCACACACACATACATACATTCATGTGCACCAGCACGTACACACATGTATATACATGCACACACACACACCAAAACACAGTTGAGCACATGTACACATGCACCAGTACACACACAAGCACAAAAAAGACATGGATGGGAAGTATCCTTGCCATACTAGTCAAGAGCAAAGATCAGGGAGCCCTACTTCCTGTTCACTCCACCATTCCTCCCCAGCCCCTCCACACCTGTGCCTGATCGCTGCCAGGGCAATTTTGATGCTATTGCCAACATCAGAGGAGAGATCTTCTTCTTCAAAGGTAAGTCACTTAGTAAGACCCTTGGATTTGCATAATTGGCTTCTTATACACACTTCAGGTGACCCACCTAGGCTGCAAAGTTTCCTGGAAGGGAGGGTGAAGGGGGGGGTTGGTGAGGGGGAGACATCCCGGGCAAGCTGTAAAATGATGGCCCCAGACCTGCTCGATATGTAGAAGGATCCTCCCCCTACCCAGTCACTTGCTGGGTTGGATAGAGGGACATTAGGAAAGAGACGAGAGTTCTTGTCATATCCCCAAGCCTTTTTCTCTTCTCCTGCAGGCCCCTGGTTCTGGCGCCTTCAACCCTCAGGACAACTGGTGTCGCCCCGTCCAGCCAGGCTGCACCGGTTTTGGGAGGGCCTGCCCACTCATGTGAGGGTCATCCAGGCTGCCTATGCCCGGCCCAGAGATGGCCGAATCATCCTTTTCAGCGGTAGGTAGGGGTCAATGGTACTGGATAGGGCCTCGCCCGTCTAAGGAGCACCCCACCTCCCCACCCGCACGCGTTACCAACATGCCTCCCTCTAGGCCCCTGGTTCTGGGTGTTCCAGGACCGACAGCTGGAGGGCGCAGCCCGGCCATTGGTACAGTTTGGGCTTCCCCCGGGAGAAGAAGTGGATGCTGTGTTCTCCTGGCCTCTCAATGGCAAGACGTATCTGATCCGAGGCCAGCAATACTGGCGGTATGACGAGGAGGCTGCCCGCCTAGACCCTGGCTACCCACGTGTCTTGAGTCTCTGGGAGGGGGCACCTCCCGCCCCAGACGATGTCACCATCAGCAACACAGGTGTGGGGAACACTGGAAGGCCTCATCTGCAAACTGTGGTCCCTGGGAGAGGGAAAGGAGGGGGCGGGGGATGAAGAAGGAATGGCAACTAGGGGGTGGTCCCGGGAGTTGTGAAAAGGGGAGCAGTGGCTTTGGGACAGGCCTGGACCTAGACTCTGAGGTGTTTCCTCCCCTACAGGTGACACCTACTTTTTCAAGGGCACCCATTTCTGGCGCTTTGCGAAGGGCAGTGTCAAATCTGAATCGGATTCTCCCCAGCCAATGGGGCCCAAGTGGCTGGACTGCCCTGCCCCCAATTCTGACCCTCAAGTCCCCAACTCCCCGAAAACAACACCCAAAACAGGAACCTGTAATTGTCACTGCGAGCTCAATCAAGCCTCAGGGCAGCTGTCGGTGACCCTCCTGCTGCCCCTCCTGCCCTTTCTGGCTGGAGCTGTCTTTTCTTGTTGAAACCTGGACCTTCCTAGCGGACCAGCTCCCTACACCGAAGGAAGCCGGAGTCTCCCGCAGGTGGACCTAGTGTAGGGTTGTGAGACGCTGGCTGCGGACCCTCTCTCTATTCCCACAGGGACCCCTGCGGACAGAGCCAGGCGGGCGGATTCCTAGCAGAAGCCTGCCCACACTGCAGGGGTTCCCGAGCCTGCTTGCTGTTAGGGCACAGGAGCTGTGGCCAAAGTCAGAGCTACCGCCAGGGGGCGGTATGCAACCTTGCTCTCCATCGTCAAGAATGGCCCGTTGCCACAGCCGCTGCGGGAGCTAGGAACCCACCAGCACTGCGGATTGGACACACAGTGCTCCGCCCTATCCCGTTGCTCCTCAGAAGGAGGCGACACCACACCTGCCTGGGGTTTTGTGCTGCCTTCTGCTGTGCTGACTTGCTTTCTGGGAATGTGCACTCCTCTGATTCTCTACAACTGGTCATACTGGTGACAATGGGACAGTGACTGTACTCTCACTAGATGGTTAATTAGGACCAGGATATTGAACTCCAGTGCCTCTAGCGGCTGAAAGTGTTCCTGAGCCTTCTTACCGTATTGATCTCCATGTCCGTTTACAGTCACAGGGTCGGAGGAAGACCAATTGCTGCTACCTTCCCTGAGGTTATGCTTCAAATGCTAGTTAAAATCAGTGTTGACATGGGTCATCCCAGAACACAAACTGGGGGGGGGGGTCACCCTGAATTCAGGATTGCTCAATGACGTGACCATTGCTTCCTTCGGAACGGAACAGCGAGGATTCAAATGCACAGAGATGCTGTCGCTGCTAGATCCTCCTCCTTTTCCCTTTTCTTACGTTTTAATTTTAGTTGTGCTTGTGGGAGGCATGTACCTGTGAGTACAGGAGCCTAAGGGGGCCAGAGGTGCTGGATCCTCTTGGCGCTGCAGTGGTTGTGAGCCCTGGGCCACCACTGTAGAACTCAGGTCCTCTATAAGAATAGCATGAGCTTTAACCACTGAGTCACCATGGCTCCAGACCCTGCCCTCGCCGTTCTAGCACTCCCCAAGTGCCCAATGATATAGGTGAGAAGTGAAGAAACCTGAGGTAGCTTCCTTCAATCCAGTGTCCCCATGGATTCAGGACCTAGGTCATTGATTCTAGAGAACATTCCACATCAGATTCATTTTTCAAGACAGGGTTTCTCTATGGCTTTGGAGGCTGTCCTGGAACTAGCTCTTGTAGGCTGAGCTCAAACTCACAGAGATCTACCTGCCTCTGCCTCTGCCTCTGCCTCCTGGGTGCTGGGGCTAAAGACATGAGCCACCACTGCCCAGCTGGGGATTACTTTTTCAAGATGGTTTCTCTAAGTAGCCCTGGCTGTGTAGATCTGCCTGTTTCTGCCTCCTGAGTTCTGGGATTAGAGGCATGTGCCAGTACCATCTCATGTGAATTTAAGAATGCAGATCCATTCCCTCTGCCTGAATTCTCCTTCTGGGGGTGGGGCCAGGAGTCGGCACTTTAACAAGTCAGGGGTGGGGTGAGCCCTGAAGGACCTGGCACTGGTCTTCTCATACATAGCTCTGCCTTCTCTCCCAGAGACCATCTTTTTTTATGTTCCCTGCAAGGGTGGGCTAATGGCTGGGGAGCCATCTATGCCACCCTCAGAGTCTTTTCCAAGTAAGAATGTGTCAGACGTCATGGGATCCTCTCCATTCTTGTTTTCTTGATGTAGTGAATTCAGTCAAGAAGCATAGACAGTTTGATTAGTTTAATTAAGACAAAATGTGTGTGTTGGTGGTGCACACCTTTAATCCTAGCACTGGGGAAGGCAGAGGCAGGCGGATCTCTGTGAGTTCAAGGCCAGCCTGATCTACAGAGAGAGTTCCAGACAGGCTCCAAAGCTACAGAGAAACCCTGTCTCGAAAAAATAAACAAAAATGAACCAAGCTGGCAAGCAAAGTACTCTGAAGAGATTGAGTGGGCTACCCTAAGTGGGAAGCAGAATAATGGAATAGACCAGTGAGGGTTTTTATGTTGTTATGAATATTTATGAGGCAGGTGAAATATTTATTAGTTAATGTGATACTTTCCCCATCTCAAATATAGTAAACCAGATAGTCTTGTTAGGGTGATTCCACTGTTAGCTCCCCAAAAGGAGTGTCAGAAGGATTCAGAGCTTTTGTTAGTGAAGATACATAGGTTGAGTGTCCTCGTGGTTTGGTTTCTGATACTATGGGGACAATGTGACTGCAGCTTGAAGGATGTGCAGGGAAAAGGGGCAGTCTGTCCATCAGGAGACTGCTACCAAAATGCAACCGTAGTTTTCCTTCATCACCTGCCTACGATGGTCACTGCTGGAATCTGGGGGGTTTCAGAGAAGCCATTTTTCTAGTAGCTTTTTCTTTTGGGTCACCAACCAGCTCCCAAATTAACATGGACACTTATTATCCATTAATTATGATCGCTGGTCTTTACTGATGCTGGTCCCACTAGCTCTTATAACTTAAATTAACCCATTTCTTTTCATCTATATTTTGCCTTGGAGCTTTTAACCTCTTTTTGTTTATCCTGTATGTCCTACACCTTGTCTGTCTGTCTGGCAGTGGCCTGGCCCCAAGTGTCTCCCTTTCTTTATCCCTTATCTCCTCTCTCACAAACCTAGATTCCTCCTCCTACTTAATCTCTCTGATCTGTAGCATGATAAATGATAGACAGAGATTGACATTGAGGTTCAAGACGAAAATCAGAAAAGCAAAGCAGCCAGCCACTAGCTCTCACCTCTACCTCAGACTGAAAAAAGATCCTGGGCCCTCCAAGCCTTAGACCGCCATGCTCTCCTCAGCATGGCTGCAGACTCCTGAGACTGACTACTGGAGACCCTGCTCCTATCTTTTATGTCTCTCTAGTGCCGGGATTAAGGGCATGAGATCTGTTGCCCTTTTAGGCAAATTGAATCTCGTGTAGCCCTGGGTAATCTTGAACTCAGAGAGATCCATCTTCCTTTGTCTCCTGAGTCCTAGGATTGAAAGTGTGTGTCACCACTGCCTGGCCTCTGTAACCTCAGGCTGAATTTGCCTTCTGAATCCTCAGGCAAGCTTTAATAAATAAAAAATAATACATCTCCACACTGACCATGAGTCCTGCCAATCCCTCTACTCTCTAGCTATAGGGCATTCAGGGCATTCAGGGAGATGTGGCCTGACTTCTTCAGGCTGTAGAATTTGGTTTCTCCCCCACCCCCTCTTTCTCTTCCTTTATTTCTTTATTTTCCTCTCTCTTTTTTCTTTGTCTCTGTCTCTCTCTGTGTGTATATGTCTCCTTTTCTTTTGGTTTTTCAAGACAGGATTTCTTTGTGTAGCCCTGGCTGTCCTGGAACTCACTCTTTAGACCAGGCTGGCCTTGAACTCAGAGATCTGCCTGCCCCTGTCTCCCAAGTGCTGGTATCTAAGACCTGTGCCCCTCTGCCCAGCAAAACTTGATTTCTTAAAATGACTGCTGGTTGAAGAGGCAAGTTGTGATCTCAGATGTGTGTGCTTGCACATGTATGTGTGTGCCCCACAGGGCCTGTGGCAGTCGGAGGGCATCTTGTGGGAGTCATTCTTTCCTTCCTTCATGTAGATCCTGGGGACCAATCAGGCTGCAGGGACAGCACCTTACTGGTCGAGCCATCTCACCAGCTCTGCTCCACATTTTAACCCCATAATCATGAAGTTCACTTACCTGGCCTGTAAAATCTCAACACAGGTGTAGCTCCTCCCCACTATACCCCAAACTTGGGGACTTGAGTTCACCCAGGAAAAGAGCTGACAGATCCAAAAAAAAAAAAAAAAAAAAAAAAAAAATTCTTGACATCCAATTTGATGAATTTATGAGTTTGTTGGGGTTACTTTCAGGAGCACGGGCAACTCACAAGCAGATCCAGATCTAAAAGTCTCACTCCTGGTTGGTTTCTAGCATTTTCTATACTTTAGCATATGTTTATTAAGACCTGGTCTTGTGTAGCCTGGAACCCCCTCAAAGGCACTGCATAGCTGAGGCAGGTCTTGAACTGACCCAACATCACCGTTTTACTTTAGATTTCCTAAGGTTATCTATTGCTAGGATAGGAGGAGGAGGTCTCTTTCCACCCTTTCGGAAGGAATGTGACAGTCCTGTTGCCATAGACCTGGCTATTAGCTATTTGGTTATTTTGTTCCCACAGGCAACCACAGTAGCTCTGCTTCCCAATGGCCTTGGTCATGTCAAGCCTAGGGGGAACAGCCACATCACAGTAACCCACACTACTTACTCATTAGAGATAGGCAGCAGAGTTTGATGAGGTCCAAGCTACCAAGCCAGAAAAGGGCAGGCTGAGGAGAATTCAAGGAACTGTAGGCAGAAGAGACTTTATTTCCTGGAACACAAGCCACACACACAGGCAACAGGGCAACAGGGCAAAGGCACACCCCTTTGACCTTAAGGGCATATTTACACAAAATTCACACATAAGTGGCATTCTGCATATTAATTACACCACTCCTTACTCTGTGGGGTTTCCTGGTATCTAGTGTCAGCCATCATTTGTTGCCTCAGAGTCCTCGGATGTCCTAGTCCCTCTTACTCATTCCTGATGTCTATATTGTCTGTCTAAGCCTGTATTGGCCCTGTGCCTTCTGTTCCCTGCAGGGATTGTTGATCAAGTAAGAAAATGACATGTGTACACCTGTAGTTGTGTTATTATGGAGTCTGAGACAGGAGATGACTTGAGCCTGTCAGGAATGGTCTTTGTGGAGCTGCAATCAGAGCCAGCTGAGCGGCCCCAAGTCCGTACCTGAGTGGGGGAGGAATGTGGATGAGGGAAAGGCTAGCTATAGATAATAAAGACAGACAGAGAGACAGACAGACAGAGAGAGAATAAAGGTCAGGAGGGCAGATCAGTCAATATGGAAATGCCCCAAGTTTATTTTTCACCACTCTTATATACCTTAACCAAAAATGGGAACACAGTATCATGTATCATGTGTATGGAACAAACAGACTTTTCTTCATCACTCATTCTAAGGGTTCAGTAACACACCTTAGCTCCAACTTCTTGTGGTCAGGAGTAGCTATACCTCAGATTCAACTTCTCCTTCCCTAGCCTTGACTGTCAGGAGTAGACACACCTCAGATTCAGGTCTGTTGTTATTTAGACTAAGACCACCAAAGCATTCTTCTGTAGCCACACCTTTGACCTCTAGGTCTTGTGACTTGCTGACAGCTTTGAACTCTCTGCCCTTGTGCCAAGATGGAGTGCAGCCATCTTTATGGGTACCCACATGAGCCCCAGCATTGAAGCCAGTTTAAGTTAGATACAGTCTCTAAACAAACAAACACAAAAGAAAAGCATGTCTCCCATGTCCCATGTAGAAGTCTTCCTGTCCCATAACCACTCACAAACACCCTGAGGCTTGTATTAATCATCAATGGTTGGCCGATACCTCAGGCTTGTTACTAAATAATTCTTACATTTAAATTAACCCACATTTCTATTTATGCTTTGCCACGTGGCTCATGACATGTTACCTCACTCTACACATCTTGCTTGCTCAGGCTGGTATCCTCTGAGACTCCTGACTCTGCCCTTCCTCCTCCCATCATTCTCTCTGCTTCAGGCTGTCTTGCCCAATCTCCTCTTGCCCTGCTATCAGCCAATCAGTTTTATTTTGTTGTTGTTTTTGTTTTTGTTTTTTATTAACAATG